TGCTTTGAAGCTCACATTTACAAATCCAACTCAGCTTTTCCTTGGATTGTATGTTTATTTAGGGGATAACTTGAGTGTGTATACAGAAGCTGGTGGAGAGAGAGTACAGGGAGAAAGCTTCCCTAACAACGCATCTTCTCTGAGAGTATTCATGGGAATCAGGAATAGAAAGTGAATGTGTTCTCAACTTTTTTTACCCAGGAAGGACCCACTCATAGGTCGAAAGGCATTCTGGATAGCATTGTATGTACAAGATGATGAGGTATCCTTGAGCCCTTATCTAATCAACACCCATTCTGGAAGCTCCAACTTGGTCAAAACTTCCATATTTGGTGAGTATTGATGGCTGGTAGAGTCTGGAAATGAACTCAGACCTTTCCCTTTTCCAAATGAATTCACACAGATAAGAAAGACATTTGGTTCAGTGTTTTAAAGGCTTAATAGTGATTATACATTGGAGTGATTTGTAGAGCATCCTCTGTAAATCTTGCTTACCAGATACCCACCTCTACATTGTCATTGATTGAGTTGTGTCCCCCCAAAGTGTCAACTTGGCTAAGTCATGATTCCCAGTATTGTATGATTGTCTACCATTTTGTCATCTGATGTGATTTCCCTATGTGTTGTAAATCCTAATCTCTGCCTGTGGTTGATGAAGGAAGATTAGATTATTTTAAAGAGGATTAGGGTGGGATGTAACACCTTTGCTCAGGTCACATCCCTGATCCAATGTAAAGCGAGTGTCCCTGTTGTGTGGCCTGCATTACCTTTTGTCTTACAAGAGATTAAAGGAAAGAGAAGCGATCAGAGAGTTGGGGACCTCATACCACCTAGAAAGCAGTGCTGGGGACAGAGCGCATCCTTTGGACCAGGGGTTCCTGTGCGGAGAAGCTCCTCACCCAGGGGAAGTTTGATGACAAGGAACTTCCTCCAGGGCTGACAGAGAGAGAAAGACTTCCCCTGGAGCTGATGCCCTGAATTTGGACTTGTAGCCTACTAGACTGTGAGAGAATAAATTTCTGTTTGTTAAAGCCATCCACTTGCAGTATTTCTGTTACAGTAGCACTAGATGACTAAGACAACCCCTAAGTGTTTTTCCCAGGAGATGCTAATTCTAAGTTGGTGCCTATCTTAGTTATCTAGTGCTGCTACAACAGAAATACCACAAGTGGATGGCTTTAACAAACACAAGTTTATTTTCTCACAGTATATTAGGCTAAAAGTCCGAATTCAGGGCACCAGCTCTAGGGAAAGGCTTTCTCTCTGTGTTGGTTCTGGGGGAAGGTCCTTGTCATCAATCTTCCCCTGGTCTAGGAGTTCTCAGTGCAGGGATCTCAGGTCCAAAGGACATGCTCTGCTCTCAGCACTTCTTTCTTCATGGTATGAGGTCCCTCTGTCTCTCTGCTCGCTTCTTTTATATCTCAAAAGAGATTGACTCAAGATACAACCTAATCTTGTAGATTGAGTCCTGCCTCATTAACATAACTCCTTTAATCCTCCCTCATTAACACCCTAGAGGTAGGATTACAACACATAGGAAAATCACATCAGATGACAAAATGGTGGACAATCACACAATACTGGGAATCATGGCCTAGCCAAGTTGACACAGATTTTGGGGGGACACGATTCAATCCATAACAGTGCCTGAAAGGAGAGTACCCAGGCCTCTCTTGGCCTTCATAAGAATGGCTATAGCCACAGAGAGCCTACACCCTTTCCTTGACCATGGGCATGTGCCCAAAACTGTTACCCTTGTCATTTCTGAGAAACCACAAGTAGCACCTGTGACACAGAGACTATTTCTCCCTTCTGCTCTTGCATCCTGAGCTTGCTTGGGCAAGGCAGGAACTGTCAGGTCATCATTCCTTCAGTACTGCAAAAAACATCACCAAACATTTCTAGAGGTCCTTAAATTGTAATGTCTGACTCTCCTTGGGTGAAAGCCATCAGATAAGGCTGTTGACTTGTGGAGGAGAGCATACTGGGGAAGCATCATTGGACAGTGTCATGGATTGAATTGTGTCCCCCCAAAATATCTGTTAACTTGGCTAGATCATGATTCCCAGTATTGTATGATGGTCTACCATTTTGTCATCTGATGTGATTTCCCTATGTGTTGTAAATCCTATCACTATGATGTAATGAGATGGATTAGTGGCAGATATACTGATGAGATCGACAAGATTAGATAGTGTCTTAAGCCAATCTCTTCTGAGATATAAAAGAAAGAAGCAAGCAGAGAGACATGGGGACCTCATACCACTAAGAAAGCAATGCCAGGAGCAGAGCGCATCCGTTGGACCTGAGGTTCCTGTGCTGAGTTGCTCCCAGACCAAAAGTAGACTGATGCATCACAAGGACCTTCCTCCAGAGCCTACAGAGAGAGAAAGCCTTCCCCTGGAGCCAGCCTCCTGAATTCGGACTTCTAGCCTACCGGACTGTGAGAGAATAAACTTCTCTTTGTTAAAGCCATCCACTTGTGGTATTTCTGTTATAGCAGCACTAGATGACTAAAACAGACAGGAAAGGAAGATTAGACAGAAATGCATATACTACACCTGGATAGCTCTTAGCTTTACTTTCAACCTTTTTCTGAAGGCTTTCTTCTTGCCCCTCTGACCCTGGCCACACAACTCTTCTTTGTATCTCCTGAGAGTCAGCAAACTGTAGTAGGAACATAGTACAAGTTTGGAGGAAGCCTATGATGCAATTCGCTAGAAACAGGGTGGAGGTTAGCCAAAGACATCCTCGGACTCCATTCTCAGCTTTCATTGATGGCTGTGTGGCCATGGTCATGTTGCTTAAGGCTCAGTTTCTTGTAGTGTCAAATGGAACTATTAAAATGCATCTTTGAGAAATGATAGAAAGATTAGAGCTGAAGCACGTGAAGAACCCAGTGGAGTGTCTAGCACATATTCAGTACTAAAAATATGGCAACTTTACTTTGATTGTTGTTGGCCCAGACCCTACACCTTCCCCTTGGCAAGTTTCTGTCCCCTGCAGCCCCCAGAAGACCCAGAAACTGTACCCATCCCAAAAGTCAGAGCAAGAGAAACTTGGCACCTTAATCTGCTTGCCCTCCAACTCCCTCCTCCCCACCCCACGACCATGTAAAGGTTAAGGATACAAGTAGGCTGAAGAATGAGAGGCTCCCGGCTTAGCACTCAGGCAGGACCCCACTCCAAGGTCCCAAATTTCGAGTAAATGGTTGGATACACTCCTGCCTCATGATCCCACTCCTGTCTCATTTTCCAGAACCCTCTTCAGCTCAGGCTCTCTAGTCACTCATTTTCTCGTAACCGAAAATCCCGTCCTAGCATTCAGTTCTCCACCGAATACCACTATAGGCGAGATCCCCGCGACTGAGTAGAGGTTGTAGCTCCCTGGCGACCGTGGAGTGTGCCTGCGCAGTGACTTTCTCAAGCTTGCAGCTCTAATAAGGCGACTGGACTTGGGGGATAAAAGACTCCCGCCGCCTCCTCGCCTGGCTAGACGATTGTGTCATTCTCTTTCTGAGGCTGACAAAAATGTAAGAAAAGTTTCCCTACCGCATCTAATAGGAGGTGGCAGTTGAGGGTAGCCCTTGTGATTTAAATGTATGAAAAGGGCAGAAAGCTTGCTGGTGCCAGGTGGTCAGGGAGCATACAACCTATGCTATTGGTAGACCGCGTCCATCTGTACTGTTTCATCGGTGTCTTTTCATATAACACCACAGCTGTGCCAGTGTTCTCTCTCAGAAATTGTTACCTGCCGGCTTTCTAGGGAAGGCTTGGGGAGAGTTGTGAGACGGGTTAGAAGCTGTGAGAGGTATCAAGATGAAGAGAGCCAAAATACTAACACCTTAACAGTTTGGGTGCTGAAATAACCTGGCAAAGGTTATAAAGGTTATAAAAATGTATGGCAAAGACAAGATCCCTTGCAGAACTCCTCCAGGTGGATTGTTTGGTCTGATCCAAGTTGCCTTCAGGAGAGCCATTCTTGATTCCCAAGACCCACTTTCTGAGGATATGTGCCCTTGTTATCTCTTCCACAGGCTCATCTCTCCCATTTCCCCCTTGAACTCAACCTTCAGTCTTTGAGTTTTCGAACGTCTCAAAGCACGATGTCCTTGTCACAGTCCCTCCCTCCCTCTGTCCAACCTAGGTCTCCAATAGATGTCACTAGAGCACACCTTGCCCCTAGCCCTCCATCCACCTCATCCTCCCCACTATCATCCCTGATCACTCCCTCACTCATTTTCTGCTTGACACCTCTGCCCCTTCCCAGCCCTTCTTGGACCCCATCACCTCCACTGTTTCCTCCCAGAACCTAAAGTTTAGTTGAGAGTTTTTCTTGTAGACTCCCACAGCACTCTGAGCTTACATATATCCCTTGCGAAAGCATAATATAATTACTGATTTACTTCCATGACACCACCCTCAGGCCTTGGGGCCTTGCTAGGTCTTCTTCACCCTTATATTTCCAGCAAATAACACTGTGCTCAGAGCACGGCAGGTGCTTAATAGAAGTTTGTTGAATAAATGAATGCATAAGCATAGTTTCTAACTCATTATGCTTTTATTTTTCACTATACTCTGGAACAGCAAAGTGAATACAGGTAAATGCCAGTCCTTTTTTTACATACAACACTAGACACAAAAGGAGGACAACAACAGATCTATGGTTTTTGCGGTTTTTTTTGGTGTATGTGTGTTATTATTTTACTCCTATAGCCAGATCTTTTTAGGGATTATTTCAAACTATCAAGAAACAACTATATATTCTCCTCCACGTCATAGAATAAGATGTAAGTACATTTTACACAGCTATCTGAACTTTTGTACTGAATCAAGACAGAAATGGTAAATGAGCAATTTCATTTATAAACACTGATCATAAACTTAATTCAGGGCTAAAAAGGAAGAAAATACTACTAGAACTGGAACACAGCAACACAAATAGCAAGGACTATGTGTACCCCCCCAATCCCACCCAATTTTTTAGTTGGGGCTCCAGGGCCATTTTCCAGGGCCCTTTTAAATGACACCACTTAACTGAAGTTATACATCTTCACCAGATTTCACACAGGGCCAAAGAAGAACCTGGCAGTTGCCTCAGATCTGGCTCTGACCTCCTCATCTTCAACAGCCTCCCTGTATTGCTCTGGCCAGTCCTGTGGTCGCTTTCTGTAGAGCCTGGCCATGTACTCCAAAGCTTTCATTTTGGTTGTTTCAAGGTGAGCTCGGGGACCCCACAGAAGCTCATATTCAACTGGATTAGAGTAAGACAGCGGCCTGCATTCCAGATAGCGCTGCCTCATAAGCTTACAGGTGATGGCATGCTTTCTCCCTATATCCATTCCGAATCTACAAAGCAAGTTCCAGACATTGGACTCTTTGACACGATTGCCCATCAGGAAGATTAAACCCAGGATCGGCATCACATATTCTTGAGTGGGTCTCCCCAGGCTCTCTAGCATTACTTGCTCTTCTTCTGATTCTGGTTGCTGAACAAGGAGATAAATGTGCTCACTGGTATCAACCTCAATCAGAGAGAACCCATAGAATAGATCCAGGATTAGGGTAGCTCGGCTGAGGATATTTGGGAACACGTCCTCAAATTCTTTGCCAGTATGAGCCAATAGCTCATCCTGATGTATAGGCAGAAGTTCTTCTGTGACATTAATGGCTAGCTGGACCAAATCATTTGCCTTATCATTCATAGTGTCCTCTGACCAGAACTCTAAGCCAGCAACCTGGCTTCTTTCTTTGGCCTTGTCAGCTTCCAGAGCCTTGTTATATTCCTCTAGCCAGCTCCAGGGTTCTTCATCATGGGCTTCTGCCACATATTTCAGGGCCTCCATCTTTGTGATTTCCCTGTGGGCTCTAGAGCCCCACAAGAACTCAAATTCGAGGGGATTAGTGCCATATACCGGCCAGTACTCCAAGAACCGCATGCGTACAAAGTCAGTAGTGAGGAGGTTCCTTGTGCTCCCAAAGAGATTGTTGATCCTCTGGGACTCATTCAACACATCAGCCTTTAACAGAAGGTCCCAAATGGAGGCCTCTCTTGCCCGGTTGCCATTCAGGAGGATATGGCCCAGGATCAACACCAGAAGACTTGCCTTGGGTATGTCCAGGGACTCTGCCAACGGACCTGTGGTCTGGGGATCCCGTTTGCTAATCAGGTTGTAGGTGTGGGCCTGGGGATCAAGAACCCTCAGGTTCAACCCGAAGACCTGATCCAGGTGGGCTGAGGCACGTCTGAGGATTTCAGGGAACTGATCTGAGTATTCTCTGAGGAATTCCAGCATCTCTGTCTGCTGGATAGACCCCTCAGTTTGGCTTTTCATTCGCATGAAATTCACCAGAGCAATCGACCTGTCTTCTAGAGGGTCGTGGAACCTGAGAGCTCCCAAACGTCGGGACTGCTCATCGATCAGGACCTCGAGGTCATTCGGGTCCTGCGGGGCCAGGGAATCGCTGGCACCTTGAGGGTAGATTGGGGCCTGAGGGCCTCCAAGGCCCTGGGGGGCGTCAGCGACTAGCATGGAGGTAGGGGGCCCAGAAATGTTAGGAGCCTGCATTTCATCCTGGCGGTCGCTGGAATCTGCAGTGGTCTCTGCGTTGCCACCGCGAGCATTCTGGCTTACCGGAGACATGGTTCCGGGAGACAGGAGCAGGAACCCGCAGGCCAGCGATCCGTCGGAGAGAGAACGGTTGATGCGTCGGCGACCCGAAACAAAAGCAGAAGCCGGGGTCCAGGAACTGTGTGGATGTGGAGTGAGAGCTGATGAGAAGGCGATTTTCCTACACAAGCACCTGCTAGCAGTGATTGTAAGCCTCAGAGTGCTTAGCTTTGCCGGCAGGGCAGTTTACGCAGGCGCGGTCGCGCTCTGCCATGTGGTGGCCACGCCCCTCTCCCAGCTCCCGAAATTCTGCCTGGCAGACGTGGCTGATTTAAGTGGTTGTTGCTGGACTCAAACTTGTTAGAGAAGAGAATTCAAGAAACGGAGTTAACAAAGAGGGATAAAGCAAAGGGGTCAAGGGATAGGGGGTGTCGAATGACTCTTCACTTGAAGTTTTTATGTAGTATATAAAGCACTATGCTAATAGGCAGTAGAGAAATCAGAGAGGAGGAGAAGGGGAGAGTCCTGACCATAAGAATTTTTACTGATTCATTAATTCATCCACCCACTAGACAGACACTTCTTGAGCACTTGCCACTTGCCAGGCACAGCAGTGGGTACTTGGGGTATTTCAAAGGACAAACATGATGATGGTCCCTTTCCGTGTGGAGTTTACAGTCAGGGGCTGATTTAAACAGTAGTGGTAATAATGAGAGCTAACCCTTACGGGGCTGTTATTCGGTGCCAGGCACTTTTTCCAGCGCTTTTGCTTTCTGCATATTAAATCCTTTAATACTATGCCATGAAGTAGCTAATCTTAGTGGTCCTCATGTTACAGATGAGGAAACTATCAGAGAGGTTAATTTACCTGTCCAAAGTCAGGTGGAAGAGACCAGGATTTGAACCCAAATCTGTCAGATTCTTAAGCATAAGTACTTTCTCTCACACTGTCTGCCCTTCAAGGAATGCTTAGCTTTATTTATTTTTAAAAATGACTCTTACGTAGGTAGATTATGCTCTAATAGAGGGTCAATTAACACATAGTACAAACACACAGGAAGGAGGAAGCAATGAATTACAGTTTATTCTGAGGTGTCTTGCATTGGGGACAGTTGCCAAGAAAGCCCCAAGGAGGAGTTGAGCTCTAAATGATGAATAGGATGGGAGGGTTATAAGAGCAGGGTTGTAAGGCCGAAGGAACAGCATCAGGAAAGGCACAGAGGTGTGAAAGTACAAAATAAGTTTGCATAACAACCAGTCACCCAGACTGGATAGAGCCAGAGTGCTCTAGGATGGGTGGGAAATGACGATTAAAATGATGAGACAGGAAGGTTCGAATTTCCTGTTTCTTTGGTTGGCAGTATGTCAGAGATGGTCAGGGAGCCACAGCGTAGAAATGGTAGCACCAGGGTAGGGCCTGGTCATTCAGGGGGTTGGCTATCCCTCAGCCATCAAGGTATGCAGTAGGAAGAGAAAAAAAGCTACATCGACTTGCCATATGCAGCCACAACTGAAATCCTTCCTTCAATTCTTGATGGTACTTAATAGGATTACATGTAGTAAACCAATACCCTGGAGTTCTTTCCGGGGGCACTGCCTTCAGATGTCAGGGATAGACACTCACATCTGACATTTTAGACATCGCAGTGCTTTCTATAGTAGCAAAGAAGGCAGTTCAGGACTTTGGATTTGCCCAGATTGAGCTAAAGAGATCAATGTTTATGAAAACGACTGTGCATGTTTTACAAGGTAGAAATGTCAGGTTTGTGTGCTAATTGCTCCTTGGAAGAATCTTGTGGATGGCAGGACCATCTTCTGAGCTGCTACAATAGTGTGATTGAGGGCAAATCTAATGGATTACCTTACTGTGGTCTGTGGTCTTTCTGTTTCTCCAGACAGGGCTCCATGTTCCTTCTCTTAGACGGGTGCTACCCAGGGATAAACTCAGAGAGGATGATTTTTCTTTTCTTTTTTTTTATTGTGCTTCAGATGAAGGTTTACAGAGCAAATTAGTTTCTCATTAAACAGTTAATACACATATTGTTTTGTGACATTGGCTGCCAACCCCACCACATGTCAATACTCTCCCCTTCTCGACTTTTGGTTTCCCATTACCAGCTTTCCTGTCCCCTCCTGCCTTCTTGGCCCCTGGGCTGGTGTGCCCCTTTAGTCTCGTTTTGTTTTATGCACCTGTCTAATCTTTGGCTGAATGGTGATCCTCAGGAGTGACTTCAGTACTGAGTTAAAAGGGTGTCCGGGGGCCATAATCTCAGGGTTTCTCCAGACTCTGTCAGACCAGTAAGTCTGGTCTTTTTTTGAGTTAGAATTTTGTTCTACATTTTTCTCCAGCTCTGTCCAGAACCCTCTACTGTGATCCCTGTCAGAGTAGTTAATGGTGGTAGCCGGTCACCATCTAGCTGTGCTGGACTCAGTCTGGTAGAGGCTATGGTAGTTGTGGTCCATTAGTCCTTCGGACTAATCTTTCTCTTGTGTCTTTGGTTTTCATCATTCTCCCTTGCTCCAGTCGGGGTGGGACCAATAGAGAATCTTAGATGGCCACTCAGAAGCTTTTAAGACCCCAGCCACTACTCAACAAAGCAGGATGTAGAACATTTTCTTTATAAACTATGTTATGCCAGTTGAGCTAGATGTCCCCTGAGACCATGGTCCTTAGCCATCAGCCCAGTAATTTGGCCCCTCAGGGAATTTGGATGTGTCTATGAAGCTTCCTTGACCTTGCCTTGGTTAAGTTGTGCTAACTTCCCCAGTATTGCGTACGGTCTTACCCTTTGCCAAAGTTAACACTTATCTATTGTCTAGTTAGTGTTTTTCCCTCCCCACCCCTCTCCTCCTTCATAACCATCAAAGATTGTTTCTTTCTTTTCATGGTCTCATACAATATTTGTCCTTTTGTAATTGACTTATTTCACTCAGAAAAATGCCCTCCACATTCATCCATTTTATGAGATGTTTCGCAGATTCTTCATTGTTCTTTATTAATGTATAGTATTCAACTGTGTGTATATACCATAGTTTGTTTATTCATTCATCTGTTGATGAGCACTTAGGTTGTTCCCGTCTTTTTGCTATTGTGAATAATGCTGCAGTGAACATGGGTTTGCATGTGTCTATTCACTTGATGGCTCTTATTTATCTAGGATATATTCCTAGGTGTGAGATAGCTGAATTGTATGGTATCTCTATTTCTAGCTTTTTAAGGAAGTGCCATATCGTTTTCCAAAATGGTTATACCATTTTGCATTCCCATCAGCAGTGCATAAGAATTCCAATCTCCCCACAGCCTTTCAACATTTGTTATTTTCTGTTTTTTTTTATTCTTGCCAGTAATGTTGGGGTGAGATTGTATCTCATTGTAGTTCAGATTTGCATTTCTCTAATGGCTAGTGATTGCAAGCATTTCCTCATGTATCTGTTAGCCAGCTGAAAGTCTTCTTTGGTGAAGTGTCTGCTCATTTCCTTTGTCCGTTTTTTAATTAGATTATTTGTCTTTTTTTTTTTTTGTAGAGATGTTGGATTTTCCTACAGATTTAGAGATTAGACCTTTGTCAGATTTGCCGTAGCCAATTTTTTTTTCCCCCAAACTGTAGATTCTCCTTTTACTCTTTTGGTGAAGTCTTTTTACGATCATAAAAGTTTAGTTTTTAGAAGATTCCAGTTATCTAGCTTATCTTCTGGTGTTGGTGTGTTTAGTGTTAGTTACAGTTTGTATCCTGTTTATGCCGTGTATTATAGCCTCTAGCATTGACCTTATTTTTTCTTCTATGATCTTTATAGTTTTTGGTTTTATATTTAGGTCTTTGATCCATTTTGAATTAGTTTTTGTGTATGATGTGAGGTAAGGGTCCTGTTTCTTTCTTTCTTTTTTTTTTTTTTCCAGATGAACATCCAGTTCTGCCAGCACTATTTGTTTAAAAGACTGTCTTTTCCCCATTTAATGGACTTTGGGCTTTTGTCAAAGATAAAGTGACTGTAGGTGGATGAATTTACATCTGGGTTCTTGATTCTGTTCCATTGGTCAATGTGTCTGTTGTTGTACCAGTATCAGGCAGTTTTGACTACTGTAGCTGTATATTAGGTTCTGAGGTCAGGTACTGTGAGTCCTCCTACTCCATTTTTCTTCAGTAGTGTTTTACTTATCTGGGGCCTCTTTCCTTTCCATGTAAAGTTAATAATTAGTTTTTCCATCTCATTGAAGAATGCTGTTGGTATTTGGATCGAGACTGCATTGTATTTGTAGATTGCTTTGGATAGAATTGACATTTTCACAATATTGAATCTACGTATCCATGAGCATGATATGTTTTTCCAATTATGTAGTTGTCTTTTAGTTTCTTGCAGTAGTATTCTGTAGTTTTCTTTGTATAGGTCTTTTACATCCCTGGTTAGATTTATTCCTAAGTATTTTATTTATTTAAGGACTATTATTGGTTTCCTGATTTCCTTTTGGTAGTTCTCTTCATTGATGTATAAGAATCCTACTGATTTTTGCATGTTTATCTTGTATCCTGCTACTCTGCTGGATCTTTCTGTTAGTTCCCAGTGGTTTTCTTGTGGAGTCTTTTGGGTTTTCTATTTATAGTATCATATCATAGGCAAAAAGTGACAGTTTTACCTCTTCCTTACCAATTTGGATGCCCTTTACTTCTTTTTCTTGCCTTATTGCTCTTGCTAGGATTTCCAGCATAATGTTAAATAGGAGTGGTGATAAAGGGCATCCTTGTCTTGTTCCTGTTCTCAGGGGGAATGTTTTCAGCCTCTCTCCATTAGGAATGATGTTGGCTGTTGGTTTTGTATAGATGCCCTTTATTATGTTGAGGAATTTCTCTTCTATACCCATTTTATTGAGAGTTTTTATCAGAAATGGGTGTTGGACTTTGTCAAATGCCTTTTCTGCATTGTTTAAGATGTTCATGTGACTCTTTTGTTTCATTTATGTGGTGGATTATGTTGATTGGTTTTCTAATGTTGAACCATCCTTGCATACCTGATATGAATCCCACTTGGTCAGGGAGTATCATTCTTTTTACATGATGCTGAATTCTACTGGCTAAAATTATGTTGAGAATTTTTGCATCTGTATTCATGAGAGATATTCGTCTGTAATTTTCTTTTTTTGTGTGATGTCTTTGCCTGGTTTTGGTGTCAGGGTTATGCTGGCTTCAAAGAATGAATTCA